AGAGAGAGACTGATAAGTCATCTTGCAAAGAGTGTGGCTGTGTAAATCTATTAGAGAAAGGGGGTAAGAAGGAGTAACAATAAGCAATAATATAACAGATAATTAGCATTCTTCTCTATGCTGATTTTGTGTGGAATGTAATTGAGCCTCTGAAATGCCTAGGATCTCAAGCAGCATGTCTGAACACTTAGCTATGGAATGAACCTTAAAATTACTTCCAGTTACTCATTTGATGATCAAATACCTTAGTAACACTCAATTTAAACAATGGATAAGAAATAGATGTATGATAATGCCACATCTACAGATTTTTTCATCCAAAATTTGATTACTAATTGATTAACAATGCAGGAACATATTGATTCACAATAGACACTGATCAACTAAAGAATGATACTTTTATCTATCACCTTTTCCTCCTTTGTCAATCTTACCCAATTTAAATATAAATAAAAAGTTCAGTGGACAGTTTAACACATAAGAAATTAAGGTTAAAGACTAAAGTATGTTTGTACTGTATTTCATATAACTCTAAGTCATTTTTTAGAAAAGGTAAAATATTGATAAATTTTGGGACATTTGAGATCTTCTGGTATGATAGTAAACTGAAGTCACTATGGTTAATCAGATGTTCATTTATTTCCAGCTTCATACTCTCCAATGTCTTTACCTGTTACAGTTGTCTGATTGTCTCTGTGGGGTGTTATTGACTTATAACTTACAGTTAAATTGCTTCTTACATTATTTCATCCTTTAACTTGTTATTCTTACTTATCTTAGGGAAGATATGGAGAGTTCATAGTTAATTAAATATAGATGCATAGTTACATTTTCATGGTTCATTTAATCAATGTCATGGAAGCAATTATATTGGCCTCTCTTCTATATGAAATAAGAAAAATATCCTTAGATAGATGTTAACGTACGCTCTCTTTTTATTTACAATCATTTGTGGAAAACAAGACATTTCTAAAAATAATGCAGAGAATCTCAAATATCAATAAAGATTCTACAAATCATTGGCTTTCAATAATGAACAAAAGGTGTCACATTTCTCAAGTCTATCTCTGAAAATAAAGCTTCTTTGTTCCAAATTCTTTCAACTCTTCCCAGTTTATCTTTTTTCTTTATTTTTGAACCTATATTCTCATTACCATTTATTTGTTGCTTTCCTTTCTATTTCTGAGCAACTGTTTGCAACACAACCTCTTGGGATTTCTTTCACTTTTATAAACTCACCTTTACCCCCTCAGTTCAAGCTTTGCTTTTACTAATCAAGCCTTAAGTAGGAATCTTGGCAATACTGGCTTTTTCTCTCAATTGAACACTATATCCCCAAAGTGTTATTTACCCCCCATTCTTTCTTCTTCTTTTCAAAATAAATGAAGTTTTCAGTGATTTATGCTTCTACCTACACTCTATATAATACCCCAGATTTAGTGGTAGGAATTTCAATTCTTTGTATCTAATTAATGCAATTAAGATCATCACTATTAGTGTATTGATAAATTAGACTTAATTTTTTTATTTAAAAATCCCACTACCATTCAAAAGTTTCAGAATAAGTGAATATTAAGTGAATTAATATCTTCATATCTGCCACCCCAGGGATTATTTTATTCTTTCCTGGATCAGGGTACAAAGATTTCTCTACTGCTTTAAAAATTTTTTGATGATATAATGCCAATAAAATAAATGTATAATGTAACAAGGCTGAACACATTTCATGCAACCACAACTCTATTTAAAAGCTATCTCTAATTGAACTGGATTACAAGAGTTGATGCATGGCTGAATTTTGAAAATATTTCAAAGATACTCATGCATTCACACGTGCACACATATATCTCTTCTAGTAAGGTAAAGCTTTGTATACTATCATATAAATTAGTTCCTGGAATAATTTTTAAATATAATCCTTCATGCTTTCACATTTTTTTATTTTATTACATCTATTTTTATTATGATTCCCTTGCATTTCTAGTAGTTTTTGCCTTGTATATTAAGTTCCTATATTGCTTATAGTTTATTGATTTATGGTATTTGTAAAGTGTGCCCTGCATGGCTTTATAATTTTAATCATCTTATTTGTTATTAGCATTACATTACATCTCATCCAAAGTTACTATTGCCATTTCTACTTTCTTTTCCTTTCCATCTGGCTATTAATTCTTAGCTCACTCTTTTAGTATGTCTTTCTTCACCAGTACATTGTTATTGTTTTTGTTGTTATTGGTATTATTGTTTACAAATTGAATAAAGTTCTTTGTGTCTCTTAACCCAGTCTATCTTTTTTAAAAGAAAGGTTTAGTTTATTTACCTTTTGAATAGCAATAGGCATATCTCTCTTTATTACTTTAATCTTTATTTTGAATGATTAATTAACTGACTGCTACATATTCTTTGTATATTTTCTAGACTGACCAAATTTCTACTCATTCTATTGTTTTAATTTGCAAATTTGGATATTATTTCAATATTACCATTTCATTAATTGATAACTTCACTCACCTATTAGAATAGATAAATTTCTGTATTATACTATAATAAAATTTTATGCTTTTTACCCCAACAAAATATACCTTTTCTCCCCTCTATTTGCTTTATTTTTCTTCCACTTTTTTTCTCTCAAGGGTACTTTAAATGTCTCTTATATTTTCAAATAATATTTTTTTTCGAATAAAATGTGAACAATGTCATGATATGCCAAGGCCTCTACTTTTCATTAATTCTAATTATAATCCTTATCCTTCAATGTATTACAATATTTCACTTTTTATTTCTATTTACTTTTACATTATCGATATTTATGACAGTAGTTTCTTCAAATTTAGGTCTGTTTGCTTTATTTGCAAGGCATAGGAAGGTCAGCGATTACTAACTGAAATTTAAAGAATGTGAGAACCGAGGATGAAGGTATAAAATAAAACTCAAAAGTCATCTTCAAATTTAAAAGTCAAGTGACATTTTTAAGAGCTTAATCTATTTTAAATTATTACATGAATGAAAACTATCTACAATGGTCCTGAACTTCACTATGACTATTACATTTATTTGTAGATAAAACATGAAAGACTGTGAACAGTCTTGCATGCCTTATCTTTAGAATGATAAAGTTTAAAATTCTAAAGTCCAAAATTAAAATATAATTCATAATATATTGCAGAGTAAAGGAGTATCATATATTTTACATTTTCTTTCTTATATTATCAACAGTCCCTATAATGATAATGCTAAATTTATTTTGTGCTTGCTTTATGCCAGCCATTTTTCAATACATTACAAATTGATTAATTCATTTTGTTGTCTAAAGAAATTGTGAATTAACAATAATTTTATCAGTACTATTTTTTTTTTTTTTTTTTACATGTGAGAAAACTGACACACAGGGAATTTAGGAAGCTTGCCTACTTGATTCTTTGTGGCTACTAGGTGCAGAACCCATAATTGAAGTCAGCAGTCTAGCTCAATATCCCATGCTTTTAACCACTGTTCAATATGGCTGCCTTTTTCTCCCTAAAATTTTAAATTGGTTTATATTATATTAATTACCTGTGTCAAAATTTTTTCTCAAACTTTTTATTATAGGATTTATTCTACTGAGTTCCATTTTCTTCACAGGTCTTTTTTTTTTTTTTTTTTTTTTTTTTTTTTAACTCTAAGACCTGTCTATTCCTGTTCCTGTCAGGACTGAAACCACTCTAAGTATATCACATGACTGAAACCTGGAACTCCCTTCATTTATCTTCTGGTTGGAAACAGTTTCCTGGACTGAGCCTCTCTTCGTTTTGTGTTTACTCTTTAGTATTGTTGAAAGCCAGTACTTCTCAGAAACAGCCCATAGTAGATAAATCTTCCCAACCAAGTCACTTGAGGACTTCTGCCAAAATACTGGACTAATAGTATAGTTCCGTAAATAGTTCTAATTTTAAAATTATTTTCCCACTAAACATATTGTCAGCAGATTTGGTTTCTTCTGAGGTCTCTTCCTTTTGCTGGTGGATGACTGCATTTTCCATGTCTTCATGCGGTCTTTTGTCTGACATCTCTTTAATTGTCCAAATTTCCTCTTCTTATGAGGAGAATTGGATTAGGACCCTCCTAACAGCCTAACATAATTAACTCATTTCTTCAAAGTCACTATCTCCAAATATGGGTGCATTCTGAGGTAGTGGGTCTTAGGGCTTCAACATATGAATGTGGGAGGGATAAGGCTGAGTCCATAACAACTGCTAAACAGCATTTCATGGCACGTGTGTACCATAGGAGGCTTACCATTCCTCTATGTAGGTTGTTTCAAGTTTTTGGCTATTACAAATAAATCTGCTATAAATGTTTGTGTGCAAATTTTGAAAAGTTTATTTGTTTTGAGAAAAAGAGAACATGAGTAGGGGAGGAGCAGAGGGAGAAGGAGAGAGAGAATCCCAAGCAGACTCTGCACTGTCAGCCCAGAGCCTGATATGGAACTCCATCTCACAAACAGTGAGATCATGACCGGAGCCAAAATCAGGAGTCAGATGCTTAGGTGACTGAGCTATCCAGGCGCCCCTGTGTGCAAATTGTTATGTAAACATAATCTTCTCTCCAGAATAAATGCCCAGGAGTATAATTGTTGAGTCACATGATAGCTACACATTATTATTATTATTAATTTATAAAATGTATACTTTCAAATTATTTTCCACAGTGACTATACAATTTTACATTACCACCAGCAATATATGAATGATCCAGTTTCTCCACATCTTGCCAACATTTGATGTTGTCACAAGGATTAAATTTATCCATTCTGATAGGTGTTTAGTGATATCCAATTGTGATTTTAATTTGTGTTACCCTATTGCCTAATGCTGTTAAACACTTTTTCATGTACTTGTTTAACACCACAATATTCTTTTTGGTGAAAATTCTCTTCATGGCTACGTTCATCTTCTAATTGGTTTGTTTGTGGGTTTTTTTTTTTTCCTTTCTTTAACCTCCTTTTTTTTCCTCTTTTTTCTTCACTCAGACCCAAAGTATCAATATTCACTAAGTAAACCACTACTAGAAAATATTGCCATCATTTGTAGTTTTTTTTTTCACTATTGATTTTGAAATGTCTTTATATATTTTAGATACCAGTCTTTTGTCAAATACTTGACTATCAATATTTTAGTATAGTGCTTGTTTTTTCATCCTCTTTAAAGGGTCTTTTACACAGCTAAATTATTGATTTTTATGGTGTCCCATGCATGCACTCTTTTCCTTGTATGGATTATATTGTAATCCATAAAATTATAAAGTCAAACAACTTCATTTAGTCCTAAATATGGGTGTTTCACTTCTGTGCTTTCATCCTAAAATTTTTATAATGTTACATATCACATTTTAGATTTATATTAAGTCTGTTATCCAATTTTTGTATAGAATTTGAGATTAAGGTGTAAGTTCACTCTTTTATCTACAAATGTCTAACTCCCTCAGTGCCACTTGTTGAAAAGTCTACCTGGCTTCCATTGAGGTTTTCTTTACACATTTGCCTAAAATCTATTAGAGATATTTATATGGGATGGGAATGCTTCTTGATTGTGTGTTCTATTCTTTTCTTCTGTATCTTTCCCTAACAGCCTGCAGTAATTTCCTACTAGCTCACACAATTGCTTAAAAGCACTTTCCCATTTTTTCAACACAAATGAAATCAGTTTCTCTTCCTCACTTCATTAGTCTCTCTCCCTATTACAATAGTCCTGAAAAAAATCCTTCCTTATCATTTTTAACCAGAACCCAGGGAAATTTCTTTGAGGCATGTACAGCTTTTATAAGGATTGCATCATATACTGTACAGTATACATACAAACACAGTCTACTGGTGCCATTTTACCAATTCAAGGAAGTATAGAAACTTTTATCACTTTATGTCCGTTTACCCTTTCCATTTATAATACAAATATCTTTAATATTCTTTCCATATACATTTGCATCCATACCAAGAAATGTTATTACTTTTGCTTCCACAGTCAAACAAAACTTAACTCCAGAAGGGAAGGTAAAGCTGTTGTATTTAACTCTAACTTTGTTTGCCATGTATTTTTTTCCTTCCTCAAGTTTCAACTTTCCTCATTTCATTGTTTCACTTCTGTTTAGAGAGTTTTATTTAACCATTTTCTAGGGTAGATCCATTGGGGGTAAATCTCTTTCCTTGTGAGAACGTCTTAATTTCCTCTTAATCCTGAAGGACATTTTTGCTTGCTATAGGATTCTGAATTGATACTTGGAAAATATTGTGCCACTTCCTCTGACCTTTCTGGATTTTAATGAGAAATCCCCTCTCATTTGAATTATATTCCCCGTATAGGTAAGGTGTCATTTCTCTTTCACTGCTTTCCAGACTTTTTTCTTTGTCGTTAGTTTTCAAAAGTTTAACTATGATGTATCTTCGTGTGGATTCCTTTGAATTTATTCTTGCATTTGTTCAGCTTCTTGAGTCTGTAGGTTTAGGTATTGTGCCAAATTTGGCAAATTGCTGGCCATTAGTCTTTGAACAATTTGTGTGGTCATCTTCTCATTCTCTTCTTCTTCTGAGACTCCGATGACATAAGTCTTAGAAATTTTGTTGTAGCTCCAGTGGTCCTTGTGGCACTGTTCACTTTATTTTCAGTCTTTCTGTTCTATTTTCAAGTTCACAGGTTTTTTGCTGTGCCTCTTCCATTCTAGTGTTGGGTCTACCCATTGAGTTTTATTATCTTTTTAATTCGCTATTGTATTTTGTTGAGACACTTTTTGTTTGTTAAGATTTTTTTTTCAATTATTTTGAGAACTTTTTTGTACCTCCTCATCATGACATTATTATGATGGTTGCTTTAAAATCTTTGTCAGATAATTCTAACATTTTCATGATCCTAATGTTGGCCTTTATTGATTGTATTCTTTCATTTAGTTTGAGATCTTTATGGTTCTTTGTATGATAAGTAATTGTTCATTAAAGTCTGGACATATTTGATTTATTATGAGACTCTGAGCCTTATTTAAGGCTTCTGTTTTAGTTGATTTCCTTTGATGGTGCTCCTCCCAAGGAAACGGGGTGTGTTGACTCATCACCTCCAGGAAGATTAGAAGCCAGAGTCCCTGCCCAGTCTCTGTCAATGCACAAAAAATGATGCTTTTTGTTATGGAGGTCTCTGGATCATCATTAGGCCTCCACTGATATCCCATTGACTGGAAAAATTAGTAGTCCATCATTCTTTTTATTTTTAATGTTTTATTTACTTTTGAGAGAGGCAGCATGAGCAGGGAAGGGGCAGAGAGAAAGAGGGAGGCAGAGAATCTGAAATGGGCTCTGTGCTGACAGCAGCAAGCCTGGCTCCAGGCTTGCACTCATGAACCAGGAGATCATGATGCAAGTTGAAGTTGGACATTCATCTGACTGAACCACCTAGATGCCCCAAAGTCCATCATTCTTACATCCCACTCATGCCTTCAGAGAAAGTGGCCTCATAAGTCATGGGCAGATGTAAAATCTTTGACACTTCCTTGGCCTTTTTACTCTTTTTGTGAGTTTTTAATTTAAATTCCACTTAGTTAACATACATTGTATTATGAGTTTGAAGTATACAATTTAGTGATTCAATACTTCCATATAACACCCAGTGCTTGTTGCAAGTTCAGTCCTTAATCTCCATCACCTATTTAACCCATTCCCCCCTCACCCTCAGCCAGCTCCCCTCTGGTAACCATCAGTTTGTTCTCTGTAGTTAAGAATCTGTTTCTTGGTTTGACTTCCCTCTGTCCCTTTTTTTTTTCACTTTGCTCATTTGTTTTATTTCTTAAATTCCACATATGAGTGAAATCATATGATATTTGTCTTTCTCTCCTGGCTTTTTGTGACATTAACAGCAGGAAGGAGGAGTGCCTCATTACTGACAAATTGGTTTAGAAATTCAAGCTCTCTCATAATCCTCATACAATCAAAAGTGGCCTTATTATTGCCTGGTAGTGATGAAAGACATGACTCCCTATTAGGTATCCCCTCACCTCACCCCACTGGAGAATTGGGAACCTTTGTCACAGCATGGTGATGCTGGAAATCTAAGCTCCCACTTGGACTTTGCTGACAATGGTTGGAAGTAGAAAAATGTTTTTTTTTTTTTTCTGTGCTATTTAACTAGAGTAAAACTGCTTGTTTTCCTAAAAGTTTCTGTTGTATCGATTTGTCCCTTTTCTGGATCTTTGGCTAAAGATGCAGACTTTTGGAGGAGTATTCTGTTTTGTTTTGTTTTGTTTGCCTCTATGTGTTGGTATTCTCAGGTGACAGCTTCTTCAGTTCCAAGTCTGGAAAATATGAGGCAAAAAGAAAAACCAGGAGCCAATAATCATGCCATTCCTTGGGTTTTGATGTTTCTCATCACTCTACCTTTTTCTCTCTACCTCTCAGAATCTTCTTTTGTTGGTTTTACATAGAATAGCCAGGATTTATAGTTTATTTAGTGGAGGGAAAGAAAAAAAAGTACTTTACCCCTTTTTCTCAGAAGCAGAGGTCCTCAATATTTTAAATTAATTAATTCTTTTGTAATTTTTTCCTCATATTTTCGGTGTCCTTCAACGGTGTGGGTTCTTGGTTTTGGGTTGATGGAATGTGTGTAGGGTTATGTGGTGAACAATCAAGTTGGTAACTGTTATAAAAGATGATACCTAAATGCCAGCAATAGCTTTCTGGTTTCCTTTTTTGGTGCTGAGCCTCACTTGGAGTGGGATTTCCATATCCAGAAAAATCATCAAGAAAAAGATAGTCTCATAATACATACATTGCCACTGAAGTTTCAATCATATATTTATATTAGTCAGTTTTCTGTTGCATGAAAGATGACCCAAACAAAACCCAAACTTTGTGGTTTACAACAGGAAACATTTATTTTTCTTGTTCTTTGCTCAGTGGGTAAAATGAAATTAGCTAATTAGCTCCAGGCTGTGAGTCTGGTAAGGTTCAATGCCACATATCTCATTCTGGGAGTAGTGGCAAGAGTATGTTCTTCTCACAGAGATGGCTGAAGTACAGGATTGTAGAATTATAAGAGTCCAACCCAGTCAGTCACCCAAGCACATATAAAGCATCTATTTTCATCACATTGTCTAACATTCTACTGGTCAAATCAAATAATATGGCCAAGAACAATACAAATGGGAAAGGGAATATACTCCGTGTACTGTAGTCAAAAGTACTCCTATGTAAAATAGTAAAGAGCCTAGATAGACACCCAATTCTGTAATAGTGAGGAAGTAAAAATTAGGGAAAATTAATCACTTTACTACAATTAGCATCATGTTTAGAAATGTGGAAGCAATTCTGAGCTATAAAGTCATCACTGTGTATGCTTGCTCCACCAAAATAGGTAAATGATAGTATTAGATGAATTACTGCCATGAAACTACTTTGAAGCTATATGGCATTGTTCAAATGTAAAATTATTATATCTTCAAATTAAAATAGAATAAATGAATAAATGGATAAAAAAGCACTGATTATTACATCTGCCAGTATACTTTCATTTAAATAGTAACCTCTAAGAATAATCATAGGGAAAAAAAATGTTTGCAAGAAAGCCTCATGTGTGAAACTCAGATTGCTAAAGCCAATTCCTCTGAATTGTAATAAAATAAAATAGAAATTTGTCAGTTACCCAGCTTAGCCAATTACATTTATCAAACTTAGTTATATTAACTCCCTAATTCCTGAAGCTTCACTTCACTTATTATCGTGAAACTCAAATGTGGCACATTCTATTTTAAAAGGCAGATGGAAAAGTCACAGTATGTCAAATAACTCCTTAAAGAACTAGCCCAAGGTTATATTGAGATGCAGAAAATGAAGTGGAAAATTGAGATACTTATTTAGATAAATCAAGCAAAAAATAAGACTAACCTTTGCCCCAGTTGTTAAAAAATTCTGGACAATTAAAATTAAATCTAAAAACTTCAGAACAGTTGTTTCAAATTTATTAGTCAAAAGATGAATAAATTTATGCCAAAGTATATTATTATTTAGAAAGAAAAACATTGTACTCATAGTTTGTGGTGCCATAGACATTATATGCTA